CTAATTCGCACTCAACTGCAGGGAGCTATGGAAACGGCTAGCTCCATTATACGACCGCGAAGATAAGGCAAAGATGGAGATGGGGTACATATGTATTTTAGATCAGAATGCGTGGACAAAACGGTCTTTCCATTCCATTGTTTTTCCTCTTTTGGACCTATTTCATACTAACAAAATTTACGTTTGAAAAAAAAAAAAGGGTTCTACGTTTGCTTTTCCATTTTTAATCTGCACTTTTTCCTTTCTTTTATTTTCCGTTCAAGCTCTAAACTATTCGATCAGATCACTATTCGGAATGTTTGCTCTTTTTTTTGTTTTTTTTTTTTATGTCACTCTCCCATTCAATGATGAAATGATTCTAAACGTAAAATGTTTTTTTCCAAAATTTTTCTTGAAGATGTGATAAATCGGATTGCATTTTACTAGTTGATCATTTCATGAAAATAAAAAATTTTGAAATATTTCCTTGACATATTTTTTAATTAACTTATTTCACAAATCACATATAATTACAGTAGTATATTTTTCTATAAAACTCTTAAAAATTGCAATTTCAGTCCCAATTAATATTGTAATTTTTTAACGGATATGTCTTTTTCTTTTCTATTCTTTTTTTCCGATTTGAAGTTATAGTGACACAATATTTTAATTGTACAAATATGAAAAATTATCCATGATTAATTTACTGGACATTAGAGAAGGAAAACTACAAAAGTGACTGCTAATTTTATTCCTTAATGCATTATATTAGTATATCCATTAGGATGGACGAGTACAAAATGTTGCAAATATATAATAGTAGCAGCAGCTATTCTTTAAACTTCATACTACGATCCAGCCTTATATATAACCTCTGTAATGAATTGACTACAACATACCCCAAAAATAGAAGCAGAAAAATCCAGCCTTATATAATCAAACCATAACTATCTAAGACTTGCGGTATTTGAGAGCTTCAAAACGGGCAGCAAGAGTGTCATAGTCTGGTAATCTTGGGTGAACTCGAGGAAATGAATCCCGTTTGCCTTGCATTCCAGGTGCCTGTGGTGCAGGCCTGTGAGGGGGCTGGTTCATTCCTTGTCCAGGTTTTTCCATCTCAATTTCCTCATCAACGTCTGATTCATCAAATTTGACATCTGACTTTGCAGGAGGGACAGTGTAGCTGTGCCTTCTAAGATTTAAAGGTGGTTCTTCCACGTCAATTTCGTCGTCGCAATCTGAGTCGTCAAATTTGATATCAGAACGAGCAGATGCAACATTATAGCTATGCCGTCGATAAACCTTTGGTGTGTCGAAATTGTTATGCTCAGCACTTGAGGGATGAGAATTTTCAGAACTCCGCCGCTTGATGCTCTTCTGGACCTTGTATTCATCATCACCCATCATTTCATCATCTTGGGCCATGTCATGAGGCATATAAATGCCAGCAGAATTGGACCTCACAGAACTGATGAATTTATTCATGTTTGCGCCATTCTTACTGTTGTGAAAACCAGATGCATGCGCCTCTTTACCAACCAGATAGGCAGCAGCTTCTGCAGCAGCAATTGCTTCCTTCGCAGACTTGGCAGCAGCTTCAGCAGCTGATGCTGAGTCTTGAAAATGCAAGGTTTTGCTTTCTCCAACACCTGGATGCCTTTTTTGTTTCATATTTTTCAAATTGTATGTAGGGAATACATATTAGCCAAAGTTGATATAAATTAAACAGAAAAAAAAAAAATGTTGACTAGATTTTTCACACTGGCAATGCCACATAAAGGATAAGAAGTTTGACATGTCAATTTAGCAATTATGCGGCAGACAAATGTTTATTATCTTCCCATGTCTACACCTGACGGACTTATCATCAGGAATAGGCATACATGCCCAATGAAAAACAAGAAACCCGAAGTCATAGAAGCCAGTCTCTGACACATCAAATTTACAAGGAAATCTGGTATTTCTGTTGCTTCTACACGTTTCTTTTTTACCCGAAATGATATCATAATCGGTATGTTGGTGCCTTACTTGCTGGTCAGAGGGGGTTCTGGTGCCACTGATTGATTCATGACTGGCTTGACAGGTAAGCTGGAAGCACTTGCAAAAGTAGTTGGTCCTTCCTGGTAAAATTAGAGAGCAAAGCTTGATAAAAGGGCATATAGAAATTCTTTTAGCATGAAATAAACTTGGACAGAGTAAGAGAAAGAAAAAGAGCCAGAAACATACTATACGCTCTTCTGGAGGCTTGAGCAGCTCCACCTCAGATTCTGTTGTATCCCAATCAACCTGGTATTCCTTTGCTATCTCTTTCATAACTTTCAATTTTACTTCACCAGATGGTGTTCTAACAGAAAGCTTTTCAATAAGCTGGCAAAGAAAGCAAGATTTCAATTTTTCCTTTCCCATTTAGAGCTCACAAAGGGAAAAGAACTTAGCATTCTTCAATATGAGTTTGTGATGTAGTCTGTCTAACATGTGCTAAGAAGATAAACAGTAAAGACGGTATATGATCATTTCCAACCAAAGAAGTATGTATGCACTGGAAAACAAGTTAATTAGAAAGCAAACTTCCATGAAAAAACAACTTAATTACCATCCGGTTCACTCCAGCATTGGGTCGTAGATCAGTAGCTGCAGATACAAAATCTTTTCCATATTTTTTCTCAAAAACATCCCGAATAGCCAAGAGTTCTGGAATCTCTGAGCAACGAGGGCCAGCAAAGATCAAACTTGATATCCCTTCTTTCAGGTCAGCAGGGCAATCCCTGAAATAAATGCAGGCAAGCACTAAAAGTCTTCTTTAACTCGATCATTTGTACTTTTTTCAGTAATATGAAAAGGTAAATTTCCTACAAACCTTCGCTTTGCAATAATCTGAAGTCGGGCCACAATGAGTTCACAGAAAAGCTCAATGAACTCATTTGCAGCCATAATGTTCTGTTCTCTTATTACATGTTCAACCTGAAACGGTGAAAAAGAGTGTGTTAAGGACTAGTTAGAGCTTATTACGTAGTCTCATCAGAGTCCTTCAGTTTAACTTAAATTAACAAGTACGAAAAAATATAGCCAAAAAGCTATATATATTAAGATTCACTCTTTTCCCTTCTCTTGTTCACACTCACATCCACACAAGTAGTCAAGGACTTTTTTTTTTTTTTGTTTTTTGGAGGAAAAGAGGGGGGGTGTTTAAATTTCGAGTAAGACTATCACAATTATTGTAAATAACCCTTCACATACTCATCCCAATGAAGCACGAACTACTCCTAATTTAGAATCATACTAATGAGACAACAAGACAAAGTCATCCAACAAAATCCAACCTATACCTTCAATAGATAACTACTTAACTGAAATCACAAACTAAAACTAAGTTTATACTCTTTCACAACGAAACCCAAGTTTATGACTAAAATAACAGAACCAGAAAAGGAAAAAATGGAATCAATTAGCCAAGAAACGAACTTTTCCAGGGTTCCATATGAAATAATTAAATATCCAAAAAATTGAACAAAGAAAGGGATATCATGGGGGTTCAAGAAGCTTTCAGCAAAGAAAAGAAGAAGGTGATTAGGGAAAATTACCCTGACTCGAGCAGTAGCATCCTGTTTTTTCTCAAGCAGCATAGCTATGTCTCTCCTCATTTGCCTAATCACCACCTCCCTCTTATTCCTCAGTAGCTTTATTCTTGCCACCGCCATCTTCGCCATCGTCTTGCTATCCCATTAATAAAACGCAAATGTATGTACCAAAAAAAAATTAGAAACCTTAGAATTGGGGGACGCACAACTACTAACAGAAGCCAACATGGGTTCTACAAGGAAAAAAAAAGTGAAATTTTAAAGATCAAAACCCATTTGAGAGAAAAAAAAAAATTACATAAAAAGAAAAGAAAAGAAAAAACGAGGCTTTTCTATTAGGAAAAAAAATAGAAATTTAGGAATGATAGCACACCTGAAAGTGCACAACTATAAACAAAGAAAAGATGGGTATTTAAGGGGAAAAAGGAAGAAAATTTAGAAAATAAAGACCCATTTGGCAATGCAAAGCTATTAGCAGAAACTAACATGGGTTTGGCAACAAAAAGATTGGAAATTTTGCAAATTATAAAACTATATACCATTTGGAGGAGTTGAAACGTCTGCCGAAGAGAGAAAGCCCGATCTTCATGGCCTTCTTGCACTGTTCAGTCGCTGCGCCTGCAATAGTCATTGCTCCACCACTGTGTGACTGCGTGCTGTGGCCTCTGCGTGTGTGTCAGTCTGAGCAAGTATGGACTATGAAGTAAGCCAGGAGAGGAGATGTTGGCACGCAAGTATAACGGTCGTCTAATAGGGAAACAGATTAAAAATATAAATATAATTGTGAATGGGTTAGTGACGTGGCGTTCAGTGGTGGGCCCAACGACAAAAGAGTGAGCCACCGACTAGATTAATTTTCCATCTTCCGGCGCGAGCCAGGGTACGTCCAAGGAGCCGTTAACTGATTTGACGGCCGGCAAAGGGTCAATGCCTTAATGTGGATGTAACTCGGACCTTTTAGGATCCAATGCAAAATGATAGAAAAAATTTCTAATTTTTACTTTGCCTTTTGTTTTGGCTTTTGGGAACTAGTATAGTGGGATAAGATTCATTTGCTTGACTTCACATTTGTACATGCATTTCTTCTTTTGTATTTTTTTTTTTCAATTAGAGTATCACAACCTTTCATCCAAACTAATTTTCTAAAATTGTATACAATCTTGTTCCAAAAATATACAGCGAGTCCATCATACAACTTTTTCGAACTTTTTTTTTCAATAAAATATAATATTTCAGAAATTTACACTAATAGCAAAAAATATATTGAACCGTCAAATTTACGTTAATAGTAAAAATTCTCTTGCACATTCTATTCCTTGAAAATTTGAGCTTCAGCTTTCTTTTTTCCTTTTCTATTCTATTGAGGGTACCAAATTGCAGAGAAGCCAGGGCGAAAACTGATCTCAAAGTAAAGGAACATCCATTAAAAAAACGAATTGGTTAATCAAGTGTATCTCCTATACTCGCTTATATTCTGATAATATAAGAGGTTTTTGTAGGCTATTGATACTACATTACAGATTATATTTTTCGGGGTCGTTATATTTTGGCATCCGTAGCATACATTTCTACAGTTTCTTGAACAAGACCAAACAAAGAAAAAGGGTGGACAGGGTAGGCAGATTGAACTGAAATTTCTTCTTCAGATTCAGTTTCTTTCTGTTGCTATACAATTTTTTTCTCGAACAATCAATTCTGTGCGTCATGGCTTTTGTAACACCTAAGACTAGAGAATTTGAGATACCATATGATAAATTTGGCACCTTAAGATGTTCCTGCTGAGAGTATGTTCAGAAGAGATACTCTTGTGCGGATCAAATGTCTAAACAAAAGCTCTAATCCATTTTCAAGGCTCTCAAGTATAGTTTCCAAGGCTTCCAACTTTCTTTGAGCTGATTCAATCCTCTCGGTTCCATCATCTTTGCAGGAATCATCAATGAGTAAATTGCCAAGGGCAATATCTACATCTTCCAGCTCATTCAAATTATTCCTTTCACCTTCACATGCCAATCCTCCTTTGTAAATAAAATTTGAAACCAATGTCCATCGAGTAGGTTTTAATTTCATCACTGGAACTGACAGAAATAACAGCAGAGATGAGAAAGTTGAGATGTTCAAGAGACTCGCTTCAGTCAGGGCTCTGAGCACAATTGACAGCTGATCGTCTTCAGAATTTGACAGATGCAGAGGGACCATTTTGTTATCTACATGCTTCAGCTTTGCAAGAGACCTTGAGATCTCCTTCTGTAAGCTTTTTCTGGAGCACATAAAAGATGCTACATCAGTTTCAGTTCTCAATTCTCGCAGCTTGCTTCGTCGAAGAGATGATTGGAGCCCTTTAATGCCTTCTTTCATTTGCATGACTGTATCTCTTGCGTTGCTACAAACATCTACGTATCTCACAGATTCCTCAACTAACTCATTGACCATGTGATCTTGCTGATGCTGTGAAAGGGCTTGTTGAGTCAGTGGCAACGCAAGAAGTTCCTCTATGCCTTCATGCAATTCTTTAAGGCCTGACAAAGACAGGCAAATCTTATCCGCCTTGGAGAAGGAAGAAGAGGATGTCTCCCAAGTCTTTAGCTTGTTCACCGCTTGCTCAATCCTGATTGTGCTAGGATGTGATCTTGTAGGCAAGCTGACAGAACGAACTCTGTAATGGTTCTTGGATTTTGGATTGAACGCAGCCATTTTTTCTTTTCTGATAGTATAGATTGGTTCAATACTCCAATTAACTCCCTGATTCATCATCTGCTCTATTTATACTACTATAACACTCGAAAGAAAACGGGAGGTTGGGCAGGTTAGTATTCATTATTATGTCTTTAATCATATCAATGTGATAAGCATCTTCAACATTATGTTGGTTTTTTGTTGTCCTGCCCTCAACCAACAAAAGCATTAACAACCACAATATTATATTGATCCTAAGCTAGGTATTCGGACAGGGTACATTCATTTTAGGCAAAATTTTCATGCACCAATGCCACCGGCAAAAGGGCTCATGAATCCAGAAAAGTCGGTTAGGCATGTAAAAGACAATGGTGCCTTCCAAAGTTGTCTAGATTGGGCGAACCTCCATTATAGACATAATTGTAGTGCCCTACAAGGATGGCTTTTTAGATATTGAGATCTAAGAGGGATCATAAATTATCATAATGATTGAATTGCCGACGAATATGGATTGTGAAGGCAAATGCAATGTCATAAATTTTGTGCACGAGTGGCAAGTTATTGCACTGTTTGCGCTGAGGTTTCAACCTGCTAATGGTGATGGAAATGACAGCTGGTATGTTTTGTTCCTGATGCCTAGTTGCCTAATACAAAATTGACCAAGGGTTGCAATTAAAGAATTCTGTCTAAATAAATTAATTAAAGAAATTCTCAAGGGTTGAGATTTTGCTCTACAAAATGGGATAAGTTGAGAAAACAACCATTCGGGTCAATAGCACATACTGCAAAATACCATTGGAACTTTGATGATCAACTGATGCATGTGTAGTTAACTCCAGGGGAAATATTTTCAGGAAAAGAAAGTGGACAGAAAACAAAGATTACTTCTAGGCTGAATTCTCAGAGTCTCAACAATGCTAAAGACTTGAATGGCGAATTTTACCCAAATTCTGTGGATGATTTAATTAGATTAAATTGCATATATTACTTGAGATGGTTATCTAATGTAATTGTCTTCTTTTGTTTTTAATTTTTCCCATACTTAGCTTACTCTATACTAGAATTTGTCTCGGATTGTTACTTTCCTTTGAGTGTACGATTGAATAATAATACATAACATCACCTTTTACGAACGTGGTGCATCCCATCTATCAGTTATTTTAAGCATTTCAACTTTAAGCGATTAGGCAATAATACGTTCTCAAAACCTGTCGAGAAGGATAGAGAATATTTTTTTACCACAGGTGAAAACAAAAGAACAGTTGAAGAACTTGTCAGCACATTTCCCATGCCTATGTTCAGACGTTGGACAGGGCTTAATGGGTTTGGAGAAGATTGAAGAGATTATTTAGGCATTCACAAAATGCTGCAGTCCTGTTAACTTGCTGCAGGATTCCTTGGCTGTTGGTACAGATGTACACCCTATATTGTCTGAAGTTTGTTGAGGTCTTAATCATCCATTCTAGTCATTATCTTAATGAAACCAGAGTTCAGGGTTCGACATGGCCTTGCTATTTTCAGATTGAGAAAAGTGTAACAAGAGGAATTTATTTGTGTCTTGTTCCTTTAACAATGTGTAGAGAGCATCAGAGCATGTGATGCTACCCTGGCTCTCCTCTTATGTTTGATATTTGGCCAACAATGACTAATAATTTGCCATTTCTTCTGCTCTCGTGTTCATGAAATTCTTCAGGTAGCAAGTACAGTCTTGCCCATATATGGAAATTCTTTTCAAGTTTTAGGAAGATGGGGCGGTGGGTGGTCTTCTGGCGCAATAATTGCCACCTTGGCCTAACGTTAGCAACTGGGATGTTGCATATGTTATCTCTTCATACTTAGATGAATGATGGGGTAGTATTAGATGGAGACATACAAGAGACATTGAAACTAAAGTAGTTGAAGAAATGTACTTGTGATATTTAAGGTAAACAAACAAAATATACATAGACAATTTGATATGCGCAGAGGAACGGGCATCCCCTCCTCAGCTTTTCATTTTCTCCTCCTGCTTTGGTCTAAAATCCAATTTGATAACCCAGAATTTCCTTCAGCAAAGCTTTTCCGGTAGAAGTCAAGATAGATACCCTCTGTCCTTTTACAACATCTAATTGTGCTGTTCATTATAGTGATTAAGAAACCACATTATCTGAGTGCGACGATACGATGGATATGGTGGTTAGACATTCATAATACATAGAGATAATCTTCCTACAAAGTTCAGAGTTCACACGCGAATGGCTTCTTGTGCTGATCCAAACATATAACGAGGATGTAGATTACTAACATTGAAGCAGATTCGAGCTGTGCACGAGTGGCTTGTTGTCACAATGTTTTCAGGGTTGGTGGCAATGGACAACCTGGAATACGTTTGCAACACCATTTCTGAGATTCTAAGTCAATACAGATAATAATTTGCTTAGTTTACTGCCACAACCATTGGCTTACGGTTTAATTAAATCATTAAGTAGAATAATTATAGACCAGTAGTTTCGTTTGGTAATACCTATGAGGAGTGATCATATTCTCATTCTGATCTTTTCATCGTTCTTGCGTCTATTAATGAGATTTACCATCCTCGATTGTAAGAAAGTTTGATAACCGTAAATTCAACATAAAGAAATTGATTGTTCTAAAGTGGAAAAAGGGTGGCAAAAGTAATAGAGACATCAGAGTTTAAACCAAGTTTTCACAGTTTCGGCAGGCAAATGAATAAACAATCACTGAGCAAGTTTTCAAGCTCAAATCTACCAACCACACGTGCGATCTCCTCAGCGTTCTTGGATATGACACCTTCAACATGTGGAGGGAGACAACCAAGTACAATTTCACAATTCAAAATAATAGAGGCTTCGCTTGCAATTAATTGCAGGTTGGATTTTCTATATCTGAAGATAATTAAGCCACAAGAATTGTCAAAAGTTTGATCCTGATCTTCGATCTACCCATACATAAAAACACGAGGTACACCTTGATAGAACAAAACAATGAAAATTTGCAGATACAGGTAGGAGGAGTTGTAGTTCTTCCTGAACAGACTAAAGCTTTATTTGAAAATTCATTAAGACAATAAAGATGAGTTTTTTCTTTGTTTTTGTAGAGTGGAAATTAACCTGCTTTCTGGGAGGCCGGAAACCCAAATCACATACGTTATTCTAGAAAGAACGCTGAAATTGACACTGAAGCATAGCATGCATGAATAGAAACCATAGCATGCATGTTAGCATTCAGGCATTTAATTAATGAGAGATCAAGGCTCTTTCCATTCCACAGTTCATGGTTTGAAAAGAGATTGACAAGATATCACGATATGATGCAGGGTAATTCTCATTGGTAGCAAAAAGAATGACTAATTTTTAAGCTCAAGAAACGCTGACTATTTTGAGTACACCATATATATGTGTTCTCAAATTCAATGTGATGCAAGAGGCACACAGATAGATATAAATCAAATTAATTTCAAGTCTTTTTTTCTATATTTTATATTTTGTTCCCCTTTCCCATTTTCCTTTTGATCCTTCCAAGTATGTTATGAATGTAAAGATCAGGGCCAATGTGAGGATTGAGAGTAGAAATGGCAGAGAAAAGTAAATGCACAATAACTCTGGAGGATGTGGAGTACAAAGTCTAGAATTATATTGTATTTGTTGTATCAAATGCACAGAACTGTATACAATTTCATATACATTTGATTTCATAAGCATATCCTCTAAAATTCGGAAGCCTATGCAGGATTTGTGATCAACGATCCATTTGCAGAGGATTAGCATGAGATGATGTTTAGCAGAGAGGTCCTTGATCTGATTAGGCACCTAAACAAGCCCTCCAATCCATTCTCAAGACCCTCAATGCTAGCCTCCAAGGTCTCCAATCTGTTTTGCACCGACTGGATCTTTTCATTTTCACTTTGATCATTTCTGCAAAGGCTGTGTAGGGCTGAATCTACACTTTCGAACTCATTCTCAACTTCTTGTTGATCTTCAAATCCCACCTTTTTCTTGTTTACTAGTCTTGAAACCAGTGACCATTTGCTTGGCTTTGCCTTGGGTGATTGAGAAGTCAAGAAAAGCAAGACATTTTGGAAAATGGCGATGCTGGTTGTGTTAACTTCTCTTAGTACTCTAATCACTGAAGAAATATGTTGATCATCAAGATCCATGATTGCTGAAGCACTGATCTCATGATCTATTTGTTTCAATGCTGCAATTGATCTTTTGGCATCTTTCTTCATCTTCTTTCTGAAGCAACTGTATTTGGTAACGCTTGTTTCCGTGCTTGAATCTCCTTTTCTTCTCCTTAAAGAAGACTGGAGATCTTTAACATTTTCCTTGAATTGTGAAACAATCTCCCTGGTAATGCCACAGATATCCAAGATTCTGACTGAATTATCCAACAACTGCTCACCCCATTTTTGCTTTTGATGTTGAGACAGTGATTGAATGTTCAGAGGCAAGTTGAGAACATCATCCATGCATTTATACAACTCAGCCAATCTGCATAAATCTTTGCAGATTGCCTCTGAAGTTGATGATGCTTCCCATGATGCGAACCTGTTCAACTCCTCTTCAACAGCAAGAGTTGTAGGATGTGATCTGCAAGGCAAACTAATTGATCTAATGTGATAAGTAGATTTTGAGGCCATATTTTTTTTCTCTTGATGACTTAGATTAGCAAATACAAGTTTGCTTATGATGAATTGATGAAGAGGAAGAGTTGAAGACCACTATATATAGATGAAGAGACAAAGAAGAAGACAGGATGAGCAATTTTTTCAATACAAAATTCTGGGCAACATGTGCTGGCATTGTTGGCAGTCCTTCGAGCTAAGCAAATTTGCAAGACAATTGGCAAACAAAGTTCTAATCATTTGCCATTTCTTTAATACCTCATGGCTATGGGGTGGATATGAGGTGTTACATTTTCCTGTTCTTGATCAAGAGGCTTTGCGCTGCTTCTGCCACATCGCTTCTCTATAGCTAAACTGAGGTGGCTAGTCACCTCTAAGTACGTGGCTTGTTGAGATTGTCTCGTTTCAAGGAGCCTTAATTCATCAGAAACAAGGACAAAGCACATCTTTGAAGATCATAATACAGTGATTACGACATTAACAAAAGGGATTTGGATAGTTTAAAAATAGAGGCGTTGGAACTTGGAATGGCAGATTGAAATTAATGAACGCAAATGGGGCCATTAATTAAATATGTGCACGTATGGCTTGTTGATCCTGTGTCTCCGCTGAATTAATTATTGTTTAATGCTTCATAATTAGGTTGAGATGCCCCATAATCAGATGGGACAGGATAATTATAACTCCAAAAACCAGTAGTTCTTGAACTCGTTGAGGGATGGTTACTCCAACATGTTGCTGTATAATGGAATGCATGTAAAAGATAATCTCTTTTTCTTTATTCAAGTGTTTGTCCTGCATATAAGTGGGGGAAAGTTTAAAACTAAACTAAAATATCTCATCTATATACGAACCAATTTAGCAGAGTGATGTTTTCAGTATACTCAGGATTGCTAGCTTTATTTTGGTTAGTGATTGAGTTAAAACTATCATGCATATACACAGACATGTGTGTCATTTTCATAAATCAAAGGATAATCAATAAGAAACAACACATAATCCGAGCGGATGCTGTAAACATTTGGAATTTGAATTCCCTCAATTCAATCTCTATTACTCCCTCCCTTTTTTTATAACTGTCGTTTAAGGAATTTGCTCCTAAGTACTTTTATCTGTCGTTTTACTATCCCTATGCAGCATTTATTATTTTTTCACATTTTTACCCTTTTATCTCTCTTACTCCTAGTAATTATTGCTTCTCTCTGCCCTTCCATATTCTTTCTTCTTTTCTCACCGTATGTTGAACCCCTTTGTTCTTCTTACTCCTAGTATGTTGAACCATTTAATACAGTGAGAGAAAACATGGGTGAATGGAATAATTAATGAGGGTATAAAAGGAAAGTGGTGTATAGATTTAAGCAATGAAAACTTTTCTTAATTGACGTGCAATTCCTTAAACGTCAGTTATAAAAAAAGGGAGGGAGTATTTATTTATCCATTCACTTATGAATTTTTTTTTTATTCAAAGACTTGCATAGGGGAAAAGCTACTTATTTCACACCGTATGCCACTTCAGATTCAGAGGGATTCTGAGACCATTTTAGTCAAATGAACAACGTTTGATTTTGTACTTCTCCTTCAGAAAATGCAGCATCATTCAATTCCCAGTTATAACAAGCTATCCAATATGAAAGGGGAAAAAACAGAAAGAATCATCAAGCAAGAAAAACCCACTAACGCCAGTGAATTTCAGGATTGCGTCTAATAAGCGCAGAAGTGCTCTTTTCCTGCAGACTCCCCATTTCAAAGTTTTCTTGGTTTGACAATTGAATCTTAGATTACCGAGCATGATTATAGAGATACACGTCTGGTTCTAAGAAACCACATAATCTGAGCGTAGGAAATAGGGTGTGAAAAGATATGGTGGCTAAGAAATGCACAAATTACAGAGATCATGTTACAATAGTTTGAGAGGTTACACACGAATGGCTTCTTGTCCTTGTTCAAACGTACAATCAATAATGAGGATTTATAGTTCTGATTTCCAGATGTGCACGAGTGGCTTCTTAATTATCATGATGTTTCCCTGGGAGGTGACAATGTGAAGTATCTTTGCTGCATCATTTATGTGATTATTACTAAATCCAGCTAATAGTTTCATAATTAATTGGGAGTGCCATTAACGGACTTCTTAATTTAATCATCAAGTTTGATTATTCGAGGCCACAAGTGGGCTTAAATCCCTACTTTGTTTGTTAATTCCATAAGAAGATATCATATCATGACCTTGTCAATATTCTTGTTTGAGATTGCCCAATTCTCCATCAAAAATTTGCTAGCAGCAACATCAACAAAACAAAATTGATAGAGACATCAGAATTTCATATGTATGAGTTTTCACTTTTTTATTACTTTTTTTCTTACGCAGATAATTTTCTAGCTGTTTCACAAGGCAGATTTTGAACCCAAAAAATAATAATAATAATCCATACAGATGATTGCGAAAGGATGGATGAGAACTGTGATTTTGTGTTGAAACAGGTTGGTTCAGAGCAGGTTAACCAGAAAAGTATTCAAGCTCGAAGCTGCTAAGCACACCTGTGATGTTTTTAGTAAATGTTATGGCGGGCTGAATTTTGTGCTTCCTCAAAATCTCTATATAGTAGAACATTTGACATGGTATATTAACAAAAACGGAAGAAAAAATGTATATTGCAAACACAATAACAACCGAGGACTTTTTCTTTTATGAATGAAAAGCCATCTTAATTTATTATCGATATTGCTTTGCTATCACTGTTTGTGTATTTGAAGTAATGATAGTGAAGACTCTGTTTAATACCGTAAAGCTCAGGTCAATATGAAAATTGAGACTAGAAATCATAGGAAAATAGTTTGCAAAAAAAGACTAGAGGGAGATATGGGAACCAAACTCTATATTTGAATTGTATCTGTTGTGTTAAGTACAAAACTGTTCATGATTTCATATTTACACATCGAAATTCATAAGCAGATCCTCTGATATCTGGATGCCTATGCAGGATTTGTAATAAAATATCCATGGAGGCAGAAGATTAGCATGCAAGAATGTTTGAGGAGGGAGGTTCTTGATGTAATCAAGCACCTAAACAAGCCCTCGAATCCATTCTCCAAAACTTCAGTGCGAGCCTCCAAAGTCTCCAATCTATTTTGCACCAACTGAATTTCTTTTCATTTTCGCTCTTTGTCATCTCTCCAAAGGCTACGTAGAGCCGAATCTACAATTGCCAATGCATTTTTAACTTCTTGTTGATCATTTTCACGTCCCACTTTTCCCTTGTTTACTAGTTTAGAAACTAATTAGGTTCATAAAGTATTGTACCCATGAAGCACCTTACACCAAATGCAGTAGGATAATTGCAACAATGTACTATATATTTGTGATGTATAGTGGAATAGGGAATTATTATTATAACAAATTTAGCGTAACAAAAGTCACAGTCACAGTGCCTATTGCCTAATACTACTATACAAGTTTATAAGGTAAAATAAGTAGTAGTTTTATTTATCGTTTTTAGAAGAGGTTTCGTTTCAATATCAATACGTGCAAAGTATGTGCACTTTCCCAGTTTTAACATGATCTTTGGGCACCTTTCTTCGTCTTCCTTCTAAAAGATGTGCAGTTGGCAATGCTTGTTTCCGTGCTTGAATCTCCCTTTCTTCTCCTTAGAGAAGACTGAAAATCTCTTACATTTCCCTTAAACTGAAAGATGATCTCCCTTGAAATGCCACAGATGTCTACAAGTCTCGATGATCCATCCAAGAACTCTTCACCCCATTTCTGATTTTGATGTTGTGAGAAGGCTTGGATGGTCAGAGGCAAGTTGAGAAGATCATCCATGCGCTTGTACAACTCTGCCAATCTGCAAAGGCCTGTGCAGATTGCCTCTGAAGTTGATGATGTTTCCCATGTTTTGATCTTGTTTAACTCCTCTTCAATTCGAAGAGTTGTAGGATGTGATCTGCAAGGCAAGCTAATTGATCTAATATGGCAGAGAGCAGTGGATTTTGAGGCCATGTATTTTCACTTTTTTGCTCTTCTCTTGATGATTCAGATTAGAACACTCAAGTTTACCCGTGATGAATTGATGATGAACAAGAAGTTGACGCTAGTGTGTACAGATGAAGAGATAGGAGACCAGATGAGAGATGTTCTGAATATTAAACTTTGATCAACATGTGCTGGCAATGTGGCCATTCCTCTGAGCAAGGCAACATTGTAAGACATTTGGCCAACAAAGTTGTAATCATTTGCCATTTCTTTGACATCTTGCAGGTGTGCAAGTGGAGCTGAGGTGTTATAATATCATGTACTTCCTGATACATTGCTTCTGTAGATCCAACTACTTGGCTTGTTGAGATTGTCTAGTTTGGAGGAGCCTTGATCCATCAAAAACAAGGACACAGCACATCTTTTTAAAGACTAATTCTGGAGATTCCAACATGTAAAGTAAGTGATTAGAACCATTAAAGTAGGCATTTGGGACTTTTTTATATCGAGGTGTTGGATGAATGGTAGATAGAAACAAATGAACGCAGGCAATGTCATTGAATGTGTGTGTGCGTATGGCTTAATCAGTACTTCATAATTGTGCCGATTATCAGATAGGGAGATCTTAAAAGTAATTTTCCTATCTAATTGATTGCGTTACTCTTCTGAGGATCTTACTCATATGTTAGGATAATGCAGGAAGAATCACCAATTTTGTCTTTGAGCTAAGAAGTGGACGCCTAAGCCCATGCTGGATCAAACAAGTGAGATCGTTCAAGCTATTAGTAACAACTCAAATCCCTCCAATCTTTGTATTTGGACATTATGTAACAATGCTTTGAAATTTACATCATGCGCAGTTGCAGAAACAGCTTAAAAGGGTTGTAATGAACCAAGAACAGGACACCTTTGGATCGATGGCTCATGTAAAATTGTGAGTACCTATTCTCAGAAGGACCAAATTGAATGCCGATTCTTGAGTCTTGGACAAAATTTCTTGTCGCATTTTCAAGTCAGTTTATCAATCATATCTTTCCCTTGCATAGGTAGCCTAATTGAACTACATGCATGCTTGGCAGCAAATGTACAAACTTATTAGCATAAAAGTTAGGAAGGATAAGCATCTATAATATTGTCGACTAGAATGGGAGACGTCAGTCAGGAATCTATACACTCCCTCCTCCTCATTTTGATTATCTTAATTTTTTTTCACACAGTCCAAGAAAAAATAGTTAGTTTTATTAAAAAAAAATAAATCCAGTCTAATGTTTTCCTAAAATACCCTTAAATTAATATTAGAAGTATCACTAATCACCGTACCTATACACTAATTATAACAACAATAATGACGGTATATTGCACCATTCGAAACATATGTCAAAACCATTATTGGTAGAAATTTTGACTATATTAAATAGAGTAAATCTTAGATACGTTGACAGAGTACACAGTATCACCGTTTGATTTATGACATGT